CCATGACCATATGGTATATATTCTAGGGATGCAAGGATGGTACAATATCCCCAAATCAATAAATGTAATACATCACATTAAAAAATTGAGAGAAAAATCACATAATCATATCCATTGATGCAGAAAAAGCATTTGACAAAATCCAACACCCTTTCTTGATAAAAACTCTCACCAAAATGGGAATAGAGGGATCATATCTCAACATAATAAAAGCCTTATATGACAAACCTACAGCCAATGTCATATTCAATGGGCAAAATCTAAAACCATTTCCCCTAAGAACAGGAACAAGACAAGAATGCCCACTTTCACAACATCTGTTCAACACAGTACTGGAAGTGCTAGCCATAGCCATCAGACAAGAAGAAGAAATAAAAGGCATACAAATGGGGAAATAAGAAGTAAAACTATCATTATTCAAAGATGGCATGATATTGCACATAGAAAACCCTAAAAACTCCATAAAAAAACAAGTAGATTTAATAAATGAATTCATTAATGTAGTAGGATACAAAATTAATACCCAGAAATTTGTAGCTTTTCTATACACCAATAATGAACTCACAGAAAGAGAAAAAAAATCCCATTTACAATTGCACTAAAAAAATTAAAATATCAAGAAATAAACTTAAAGAAGTAAAAGACATGCAATCAGAAAAACAATAGGACATTGAAAAAAGAGGTAGATGAAAACATACTGAAATGGAAGAATATACCATGTTCATGGATTGGTAGAATCAACATCATTAAAATATCCACACTACACAAATAAATCTATAGATTTAATGCAATATCCATGAAAATATCAATGGCATCTTTCACAGACCTAGAACAAACTCTCCAAAAATTCACATGGAATTAAAAAAAAAAATAGCCCCAGCAATCTTGAGAAAGAAGAACAAAGTTGGAGGGATCACAATACCAAAAGGGATCACAATACCAAATATCAAGCAATATTACAAAGCCACTCTTCACAAAACTACCTGGTGTTGGCACAAGAACAGACATATAGAGCAGTGGAACAGAACGAGAACCCAGAAAATGACCCAAGCCATTATGCTCAATTAACATTTGACAAAGAGGCAAGAGCATACAATGGAGTCAAGATAGTCTCTTCAATAAATGGACAGATAGCCGAAACCGGTTTGGCTCAATGGATAGAGTGTCGGCTTGGGGACTGAAGGGACCCGGGTTCGATTCCGGTCAAGGGCATGTACCTTGGTTGCGGGCATATCCCCAGTGGGGGGTGTGCAAGAGGCAGCTGATCGATGACTCTCTCTCATCGATGTTTCTAACTCTCTATCTCTCTCCCTTCCTCTCTGTACAAAATCAATAAAATATATTTAATAAATAAATAGATAAATAAATAAAATAAATGGACAGATACATGCAAAAAAAATGAAACTAGACCACCAACTTACACCATACATAAAAATAAACTCAAAATAGATAAAGGACTTAATCATAAGATGGGAAGCCATAAAAATCTTAGAAGAATCCATAGGCAGCAAAATGTCAGACATATGTCGTAGCAATATCTTTATCAATATAGCCCCTAGGGCAATGGAAATTAAGGATAAAATAAATAAATTGACTACATCAAAATAAAAAGCTTCTGCACATCAAAAAAAACATTGACAAAACAAGAAAGCCCACTGCATGGGAGAACATATTTGCCAATGTTATATACAATAAGGGTCTAATATCCAAAATTTATAGGAAACTCGTACATCCTATCAAAAAAAGGCAAAGGACTTAAATAGATACTTTTTTAAAGTGGCCATATATAAGGCCAAGAAACATAGGAAAATATACTCAAGGTCACTAATCATCTGAGAGATGCAAATCAAAACAACAGTGACATACTATCTCACAACTGTCAGAATAACTATATCAACAAACCAGTAAACAAGAAATGCTGGTGAGGATGCAGAGAAAAAGGAACCCTCGTGTACTGCTGATGGGAAGGCAGACTAGTGCAGCTACTGTGGAAAACAATATGGAGTGTCCTCAAAAAATTAAAAATGGAACTCCCATTTGACCCAGTGAATCCAATTCTATGAATATATCCCAAGAAAGCAGAAACACGAATCAGAAAGGACAAATGTACCACTATGTTCATAGCAGCACAATATACCATATCTAAGATTTGGAAACAACCTAAGTGCCCCTAAGCAGATGAGTGGATTAAAAAAAAAAACAGCGGTACAGCCAAAACCGGTTTGGCTCGGTGGATGGAGCGTTGGCCTGCGGACTGAAAGGTCCCAAGTTCGATTCTGATCAAGGGCATGTACCTTGGTTTCGGGCACGTCCCCAGTAGGGGGTGTGCAAGAGGCAGCTGATCGATGTTTCTCTTTCATTGATGTTTCTAACTCTCTATCCCTCTCTCTTCCTCTCTGTGAAAAATGAATAAAATATGTATTTTTTTTAAAAACAGCGGTACATCTACACAATGGAATACTACGCTGCAGTAAAAAAGAAGGAATCCTTATCATTTGCAACAGCATGGATTGACATGGAGAGCATTATGAGAGCTAAGTGAAATAAGCCACTCAGGAAGATAAATAACACATGATCTCACTCATTTATGGAATATAATGAAAAATATAAACTGATTAACAAAAATAGAGCCATAGACGGAGAAGCATCAAACAGACTGTCAAACTTCAGAGGGAATGCGGGGGAGGGAGGATAAGAGATCAACCAGAGAAACCAAGATGGCTGCATAGGTAAACCCTTAAATTGCTGCCTCACACAACAATTTCAAAACTACAACTAAAAGACAAAACACCTCTCACCCAGAACCACAGGAAAGCTGGCTGAGTGGAAGTTCTACAACTAGAAGGAAAAAGAAAAGAGCATTGAGAAGTGCACAAGTACTGAAAAGCTGATGTATGGAGGCGTGCGAATGGGCTGGTGATGGGCAATTGGATGTGCTGCTTTTTATCAGCCCTTAGGGAGACAAGTTCCCGATTACTCTGAAATCCAGTTTCTGGGGAGACACTGGGGACTCAAACTCCTACGGGGAGAAGCTGGATTGTCAGCCATAGGGTCAAAAAGTGAGGTTTACTTTTTTGCAGGGGTGCAGCAAGCAATCATTGTTTACTGCACTAGGGCGCAAGACTCGGGGACTTGGAAATACAGACACACAGAGAAGGCTGACTGACATCCATCGCTGTTTACCATGCCCTAGCCTAGTGACTCCCTGAGACCCCGTCCTGCACAAGATACAAACCCACCCAAGCTCCACACAGCAGCTTTTGCATATAAATGGCCTGTCCTATCACAGCTTAACCAAACAAACTGCAACTGCGTTCAGACAGCTCCAAAACCTCCAATCCCCAAGCAAAGAGAAGAAAACTGTAGTTCTCACTATAGCTCGTGCTGGGTGGCCTCAGACAGTAGCTGATCTGTACCTGTTGGAAATCCAGAAGCTAGTGTATCTCGTGGTCTGTGTGAGATGACACCAGATTTCAACTACTCTTATAAAGCAGACTTAGTGAGCACCAAAGCCCCACTGAAACAAGTCCTGTCCCATAAGCATGTTTCCAGCACAGCAATTATTCCATTATAGACACAGCAGGTCCTCACAGCCAATTGGCCTGGAGGTCAATTCCTCCCAGTGACACCAACAACAATCAAGACTTAACTACAAAAAGGCTGTACACACAGTCCACAAAGGGGTGCACCAAGAGTGTCCACCTCAGGTAACTGGGAGGCTGACCCACTGAACCATATAGGACACCTTAACACACAAAGCCACCCTACCAACTAAGGGAAGCAGTGAAAATGCTGAGTCAAGGAAACAGATCACAAACCAAAGAAATGGAGGACAACAAGTGACTGGATATAGAGTTCAAAACCACGCTTATAAGGTTTTTCAAGAATTTCCTAGAAAAGGCCAATAAAATAAACGTGACCTATGAGGACATGAAAATGGATCAACTAGAAATAAAGAATACATTGTCTGAAATAAAAAATTTTATACAGAGTCCTAAAAACAGAAAGGAAGATCGCAAGAATCAAGTCAAAGATTTGGAACACAAAGAGCCAGAGGACAATCCTTCGCAGAAGCAAGAAGACAAGAGAATCCAGAAAGTTGAAGATAGTGTAAGAAACCTCTGGGACAACTTCAAGTGAACCAACATCATAATTATGGGTGTCCCAGAAGATGAGAGAGAGCAAGATACCAAAAACATATTGAAAGAAATAGTGACAGAAAACTTCCCCCACCTGGTGAAAGAAATAGACTTACAAGTCCAGGAAGTGCACAGTACCCCAAACAAAAGGAATCCAAAGAGGACCACACCAAGACACATCATAATTAAAATTCCAAGAGCAAAAGACAAAGAGAGAATATTAAAAGCAGCAAGAGAAAAGCAGGTAGTTACCTATAAAGGAGCACCCATATGATTGTCAGCTGATTTCTCAATAGAAACCATGCAGGCCAGAAGGGAATGGCAAGAAATATTCAAGGTGATGAACAGCAAGAACCTACAGCCAAAAATACTCTACCCAGCAAAGCTATCACTCAGAATGGAATGCCAGATAAATAAAATTTTAAAAAAAGCTAAAGGAGTTCATCACCACCAAACCAGAATTATATGAATTGCTGAAGGAGAGTCTTTAGGAAGATGAAGAAGATAAAGATAAAAATTATGAACAACAAATATGTAACTATCAACAAGTGAATCTAAAAACCAAGGGAATTAAAAAATCTGATGAACAATATTAACTGTTGAATATAATAGAATCAGAGGTATGGAAGGGGAGTGGACTGACAATTTTCGGGGAAAAGGGGAGTGCGGGGGTGCGGGAAGAGACTGAACATAAACTGTGCACCTATGGATGAGGACAATGTGGGGTGGGAAAAGGGCAGAGGGCAGAATGGGAACCTGGTGGAGGGGAGCAATGGAGGGGGAAAAAATGAGGAACATTTGTAATAATACAAACAATAAGGATTTATTTTAAAAAAGAAGAAGAAGAAGACTCTTACTTACTTTAACACCTGTGCAACGGTATTTGGTCCAAACCATTCGCCGATTGACTTTCCTTCTCCTACACCCATTTGCGCTGTTTTTATGTGGAAAAAAATTAACATGTTAGCAAAAGGCCTCCCAGCATGCCACAATTCCAACTTTCTGCATAAATAAACAGGTGGACAATTTAGTGGAGCCACATAGAAGGCAGGGGACAATAAGAGCAGGTACAGGCATTGTCTTTAAACCACTGATGTGACCTTACCCATTTGATGGATAGAGTAGCAACAGTCTTTCCTATCTAAGAAGCACTGTAGGATCCGCTGGTATTCTTTGGGTTGTTCTTTTTGTTTCTCCCAGTTCCAGTCTTTTAGGAACAAAAAGAGTTACGTTATTGTTATAGTTTCTTATTACTTCTCTGAACTCTTATTGTAAGGTTAGAATGAGGTTAGAATGACAACAAAGAAGTTATATCTTAATGGCAAGAATGACCAACTTAGAACATTCCTAAATAACTTCAATTTTGATAACAAAGGCATCTGGAAACTGATTACTTTTAAAGACTCAATAGGTGTAAAGTAAAAGCAAAACAAGAAGTTGACCAAGAAATTGACTTAGCCCCAGGGCTAGAGGTGGGTAAATATTACATGAAAACAGTCTCATAAAGGCCTTTATCGTCAGCTACTCAGTGACCAGGGGATCACACAAAACCTAGCAACATATCTGTATATCACCCAGATGCCAGTGTCTCATCACCATACAGACAGCAATGGCTTTGTCCTTATAATTTGGCAGCATTACTAAAAGAGTTTCATGGGGGAAGTGCTATTCTGACACACAACAGTTCACAGGGGAATATACAAAATTCAGAGCTAAGAAAGCTTTTAAAAATTGCATGCTGCCAATTTTACACATTTAAAAAGTCCACACTGAGATTTGCAAAAACAAATACTTTTGCTATCAGTGTTCAAGGTTTCCTTATGACCAAAACCAAAATAATCACATCTGTAGGGATCCCATCCATGACTTAGGTACAACCCCCCAATATTACCGAGGACAACTGCAAAAAACCTGCCATAATCACTGCTATGGACAGGATGCACTGCTCCCATCCCTCAGCTCCAGGATCTCTGTCTAATGGGACAGAATTCTGAGGCTAGGTTTGCTTCTAAGACATAAATTTATCTCCTGAGATTTTAGAAAGCATTTGAATTTACAACTTAAATTTACTTGAAGCCAAAGGCCATTCCTTTCTCTTTGCTTTGAGGATTTCCGAAACCAAAGTTTTAAACTTCATATTCAGCATAGACTTCAGAGGAGTATCTATATCCAACTGTTTTTCATCAGATAACAAATTGTCCAAGTCTGGGGAAATCTTGATTAGCTGGCTGCTAAGTACCACTAAATAGTTTCTGATGATGGTGATAATTGAATCTACCTCAATAACTAAATAAGAAACACAACAAAATACTTCTTCACAAAATTACATCTTCCAATTCATCTTTGCTACAAGATCCATTCCTAAATCCTTCCTGCTATTTGCTTTTTTTACATTAAAACAATTGAGACTGCTTACTGGAATTTTTCCCCCCAGTTTGTTTTTCACAAAATTTACTTGCAGAAGAAACAGCTTTTTAAAAAATTCTTTATTCTTGAGAGTATTACATATGTCCCCTTCCCCCCCCACATTGTCCTCTCTTAGCCTTCCCCTGCCCCTCAGACCCGGCCTTCACCCTCTGCATTGTCTGTGTCCATTGGTTATGCTTATACACATACAAATTCTTTGGTTGATCTCTTATCCCCACCCCACCCCCGAAGAAACATCTTCTCATTTATAAATAAAAAGAAGCCACCCAGCCAGTGTTGCTCAGTGGTTGAGCATCAGCCTATGAACCAGGAAGTCACAGTTTAATGCCTGGCCGGGGCATATGCCTGGGTTGTGGGCTCAATCCCAGAATGGGGCATGCAGGAGGCAGCTGATCAATGGTTCTCTCTCATCATTGATGTTTCTATCTCTCCCTTTCCCTTCCTCTCTCTGAAATCAATAGAAAAACATATTATAAATAAGAAAAAGTTAAATAGTAAGAATGAATCCTCTTTAATAAGTAAGTGTACCCTAGAGACATCTCTGAACAAGGAGTCAGAAGTCCTGCATTATATTCGCAAATCTATGTTTTCTAGCTGTTTGATCCTGGGCAAGTCACCTTACTTCCTGAGCCTCAGTTTCTTCATCAAATAAACAGAAAGCAGTCACAAGATATCCTATTCCCCAAAAAGAAGGAACCAGGCCCTCAAATCTCCCCAGACTCTTCCACAATCATTTGTGATAATGACAGCAGGGTTTGTGAGGTTGCACAATGGGGAAAAGGAATGTTTCCATACTATGAATCTCAATAATTTCAAATCTCATTTAAGGTGTCCTTTCACTCGTTCATCCTCAAGTTGAACTGGTCTTTCACTCAATTGCCAAAACTGGCATCCAGAGTCACCATACAGATGCCCACAGGGAAGCACACATCTTAAGAGAACAAGAATTGCTCAGCCAGTGTGGCTCAGTGGTTGAGCATCGACCTATGAACCAGGAGGTCATGATTTGATTTTTGGTCAGGGCACTTGTCTGGGTTGAGGGCTCGATCCCCAGTGTGGGGTGTACAGGAGGTAGCCGATCAATGATTCTCTCCCATCACTGATGTTTCTATCTCTCTTTTCCTTCCCCTCTGAAATCAATAAAGACATATGTTTAAAAAAGAAAGCAAGACTCAAGAGTGCCAACAATGATTACTGAAATGATTTTAATAAAGTAGTTTATTGAGGAAGATGATTTAAAAATCCCTTAATCATCAGCCTGCGGACTCAAGGGTCCCAGGTTCGATTCCGGTCAAGGGCATGTAACCTTGGTTGCAGGCACATCCCCAGTAGGGGGCATGCAAGAGGCAGCTGATCGATGACTCTCATCGATGTTTCTAACTCTATATCTCTCTCCCTTACTCTCTATAAAAAATCAATAAAATATATTTTTTAAAAATTAAAAAAAATAAAAATTCCTTAATCATCAAATGGACATCTTCAGTGAACCAAAACCAAAATGGCACCGCTCTCTCATTAGGCATTTCCTTTATGTCATTTACATCCTTTACCAGGCAGATATTTTAAATGAGGTCAAGAAACAGACCTACCACCACGCCCTTCCTCCTGCTTTCTTTGTTATGTGACCCTTTAAGGACTCAGTCAAACAATGACAAAGATGGGAAACTAAATGACACACCTGCCTCAATGTTCACTGTTCACACCAGTCCCTCTGGCTTGGTTATTCACAAGGAAATGTTGCCTGTTTCCTTGTCATGGGAGACTTTGTCAACTTGTCAACCATACCACTTGAGCTTACATGGAGCACTTTTAGGACCTGTAGCTCTGTGAGTGTTCCTCAAATTCACCATAAATATGAAACCACCAGCAGTAAGCGCTATTGAAGAGGTCTCTAAGGCAGTTTAGAGAATAAATTTAACTCACCCCTTCCCAAGTGTCTGCAGATAAGGGCTTGAGCTAGCATCATCTGTCCACAGCGTAGCATACATCCCCAGCCAGCATCTGATGAAGGGCCCGTTCCTCCTGTTGGCAAATGGATGGCAATAAATATGAGTTCCTGAAATTACCCTTTCCCCAAACAATCAGCATATCTGGAAATATTCAAGACAGACACACACACACACACACACACACTGAAAAGAGATAAGATGTATAGCCAGATATCAAACAGGGTTTGTTATAGGGTGAAACTTGCAAAGTTAATGCTAAGTTAACTAAAATGGGTTCTGCGGCCAAAAACAAGATAAACAAATGAACAGAACCTGCCCCTTATGTTTTCTGCTTGGAGACTTCTAGGTATGCATGCAATTTTGGTAGACGAGTGCAATGTATGACTACCAACACAGTCTATGCCATATAATCATCTGTTTGACCAAACCTGGCTTTGCACAGCTCACCTTTCAGGGAAACCTGTCTTACCTTACTTAAGAAATAAATGTTACCAATCGCAATCATCAAAATGGTCAACGATATCTGAAAGACTTTTGACTGTTCTAAATGTCCATTATAAAGATCTGATCAGCAAGAAGGGCAATGTAAAATAGAGAAAAGAGTCTTAAATTGGGCATCATACCAGTCTCTCAATCTAAATCTCATCTATAGACTGAGGATAATAGCATATACCCTGGCTATTATCAGTGGGTATTATAAGAATTAAGTGAGAGAGTATCTGGGAAAGTGCTCTACAACCCACTCAGGATAATGGAAATATTTGGTGTTACGGGTAAGAACACAATTAAGAATATTATTAATAGTCCAGTCAGTACTTTTCAGTGGTTGAGCATCTACCTATGACCAGGAGGTAATGGTTCAATTTCTGATCAAGCTACATGCCCAGGTTGCAGGTTCAACCCCCCACAGTGTAGGGTGTGTAGGAAGCAGCTTCTTTCTCTCTTCCCCTCTTCCTTCCTCTCTCTGAAATTCATAAGAAACCCAATCTCATTTTAACCAAATAATTTCAACATTTCCCCCTACCTACGTTTTGATAAATATATATAATACATTATATATTTATTAAAATAATACTATTAATAAATTTAAAATGTACTATATCTTTAAAAGGCACAAAACCAGTAAATAAATGAATAATACAAAGAGTTCCATTTTAAGAACATTTGATGTAACAAAAATCTCACAAATGTGGCCAGGATGAGCTCAATATCCTTTATCATGCTACTAATGAAATCAGATGGCAGAGGAGACATTCTGCTTTCATTGCTTTCATATCCCAATATGGAAGTGAACAGTATACTATAAGCATGATCTCACAAAAGTAACTTTAAAGAGGGCCATCAACCTTATAAAATAAGTGAGCCAAGGTGGCTGCCCCTTTCCTTTAGTTGTGGGGATTGAAGGAGAGTTGCTACAGTAACAAGAAAAGGGTTGAGCCAACTTGGAAGCTGAGAGAGGAGCCCTTGGCTCTTGCTCATATTGGGATTACCAGCCAGATTAGTATGGAAAAGATTCAGTGAAGCTCACATAAAGAAGAGAGCATAGCTGGAACCGGTTTGGCTCAGTGGATACAGTGTCGACCTGCGGACTGAAAGGTCCCAGGTTCGATTCCGGTCAAGGGCATGTACCTTGGTTGCCGGCACATCCCCAGTGGAGGGAGGTGGGGTGCAGGAGGCAGCTAATTGATGTTTCTCTCCCATTGATGTTTCTAACTCTCTATCCCTCTCTCTTTCTCTTTGTGAAAAATCAATAAAATATATTAAAAAAAAAAGAAAAAGAAAAAGAAGAGAGCATTGAATGCCAAAACATTGTCAAAGTTGAATTGCAAATATCTTGAAGCCTTACGAAGACCTCTTCACCAGAGAAAGTTAACAGTTTAGAATCACTGGGTACTAAAAATAGCTATTTTGTTTGTTTTACTGCTCAAGTACTTCCTGCAGAGATTTAGAAAAAAAATGTCTGTGTGGACTTCATCTATGGCACTTTATCAGAAAAATTGACCTGAAGCCAATTAATAGGTCCAATCCTATATCAAAATTTGTCAGTTAGGAGAATAGCTTCCATCATTTGTGTTTTTGGTAATCTTTTCACACAGGGCCATGATACCAGGAATATGTCACCCTACTTGCAAACATTTTAGCAATTTTCTCTAGCAGGAGCCTGTTTACTTAGCTTATTGAACTGTTCTTTTTCTTTCTTTCTAGACAGCAGCTGGTACTAGAATTAGGGCCAAGGAAATCTATCTTAATTCATCTCCCAGTGGCAAGGTGTTCACATTTCATAGGGGGAAATAATCAAAAGAATCACTTTCTTTTCTTCAGGTACAATAGTATTTAATAATCATGTAGCTACACAAAGCAGTATATTGTAATTTAATACATATTGCCCAAATTAAAAGTCTGACTTTTTCCTTATTCTCAGAAGTAAAATAAATTATACCATCCAGAGCCTGAACACTTGGAGGTGGGCTCAAAAGTATCCTGGCATTACACATTAACACTATGGAGCCATACATGATGAGGTTCCTTAGCAATGAAACTTTTGCATAAAGTGTAAGACTTAAATACTCCCCTAAATCAAATTCTTAATCATAGTGAGCTACTAATTTGGAAATTTCTGTGAACTCATTGAAAACTTCAGGCAAGCTATGTACAAGGAAGAAAGCACAGTATAACAAATCATATACCTACCAATTGGTGAAAATTTCCTTCTGTATGTAAACCATAGACGAGCACTTATATCAGACAACAGCTTAGATTTTTCTGTAATTAAATGTGAAATTCAAATTAAATCACCACATCCCATCTAAAGATATCTGCTTTTGATTTCTGATCCAGAAGCAAATTCATTTTCAAATAACCAGATAAATCCATTATTATGAGGCCAGGGAAATTCATAAGAAACCCAATCTCATTTTAACCAAATAATTTCAACATTTTCCTCTGCCTATGTTTTGATAAGAGCCACTGATGCTGGGTGGCTTCTGTCTCTTTTCCACTGTACTCCATGATCTTGGCAGGTACCAACACTGGGGTCATGGCCATAAAACAAAGAATATGGAAAGGAAAAATCCTAGATAACCAACTAACAAGGCAATTAGCCCTGCCTAATTGATAACATTTGACTGAATCTATCATTAGCACTCACTTTCTGTTATCTAAAACTGGATATGGGTGTGTGTGTGGTGGGGTGTACACATGTGGACATGTTTAACTAAAATGAAAGTGCCCAGTTAAGCAAATTAATTATATAAGCAATGTGTCAATACCGCCTAGTACCACTGTCGGCAAACTGTGGCTCGTGAGCCACATCAGCTCTTTGGCCCCTTGAGTGTGGCTCTTTCACAAAATACTACAGCCTGATAAGTATATTTTGAAGAAGTGGCATTAGAAAAAGTTTAAGTTTAAAAAATTTGGCTCTCAAAAGAAATTTCAATCGTTGTACTGTTGATATTTGGTTCTGTTGACTAATGAGTTTGCCGACCACTGACCTGGTGCAACGGGCATTTGTAATCTAAATAGACGTATAACATCATAAATGTTTTTGTCTATTTGAAAGCATGCTTTCTTGTATTTTATGACAAATTTATTTTGATGGCCACAAATATGGCTTCCATTTTCCCATCAATATTTAGATGTGGTTCTATCTTTCTTAGTCTTCTAGCTTCCCTTTTTCAACAACACATCCATGTTTGTATTCCATATAGTACTTATAGCCATTGCATTTTAAAAGAAAAAAAGTAAATTCATTATCAGTCTATACTTTCTATTTTCTCCCTTGCCTTTCCTTTGAACTAATCAGAAAATTACTGTCTGGATTTTCTTCCCCTTCATGTCCACAGTGCCTAGCACATTTTGGGAAGCAGCTATATAATGGTAGATTCCTGGAGTCAAACTCTGCCTGCGTTTGAACACTGACTATTCTACTTATCAACTCTGTAGCTATATCATTGAGATTCATTTTTATCATCCATAAAATGGGGAGAGCACTACTTCACAGAGTTGTGAACATTCCATAAGATAATACATGAAAGTGCTTAGATGCTACAGTATGTAGTAAGCCTACATAAGTGTTAGCTGTTATTATATATGCCTCCTCTTAAAATGTAAAGACCAGTCACTCCTTCCTCTGATATTTTCTACACCTCCCACCTTCCATATATGCTACGAAGTCTGGGGAAGTTGTATGGATATTTTAACAATTTCACTTTAAAAGTAATTTTGCAACTTAACATTTGAATATGGGTATGTTTGACAACCTAGACAACCTAGTGATTTCTGTTGTCATGGAATGCAGAACTAGAAGATATGAGCTCCAGTCCCTTCATTTTATGTGCTAGTGAAGGGAGTTAAGCTCCAGAAAGAGAAAATGACTTATCTAAGGTAGGAGAAGAGTCTGAATAGAAAAATTCTCCTAATGGCTAACCCCAGCCGTTTTCCACTGTTCAGTCTTCTCCCAACAAAATTATGAAGCCAGACTCAGGAGTAGTTACAAAATGCCTAACTTCCTTTCCTGCTTTTTGATGAGCATTCTGTTCTTCCCTTCATGCTGGGGCCTCTTCTCAGACAGATACAAAATCAGCGCTGCCTTTCTCCAAGTTCAGGCTTTATCTGGGTATAGGGCCATTAGCAGTTTTAGTTTTAAAGGTCTTTCCCAATCTATGAGACTGTAAGGGTAAGAAAGACAAATTCAGCTCTAGCCAGTGTATCTCAGTGGTTAGAGGACTGGCCTGTGCACTGGAGGATTTCAGGTCAAGGGTACATACCTGGGTTGTAGGTTCAATCCCTGGCCACAGTCAGTTCCTGAATAGGAGGCAACCAATCAATGTGTCCAATCAATGTGTCTCCCTTATATCAATGTTTCTCTCTCTCTCTCTCTCTCTCTCTCTCTCTCTCTCTCTCTCTCTCTCTCTCTCTCTCTCTCTCTCCTCTCACACTCTCTAAAAATCAATGGAAAAAATTTCCTTGGCTGAGGGTTAACAATAACAAAAAGACAAATTCAAGCTTCCTTTCCATCTATCTAGCTGCATGTTCTATACACAATCAGAATAAAGTAAAACAGGGCTACAATCAGAAAAATATATCAAACTACAGCACTTCTCAGTGTCTGCTATCGTTTCTGACAGCCGTGGGCTATTTAGAAGTCCCAGTGCTTTAATCTAGACAGAAAGGGACATGTGAGGAATGAAAAGTATGTAGACCAGTCATCAAAGACTAGATACTGGTTACTGATACCAGGAGTGGGTCCATGCTTTTTGAAACCTGAGTCTTATAGAATTCAGGGGTTCTCCTTTAGGGGAAAGAATACGAATATATGACCTTTTCAAATTGTACAAACAGGACCATATGAACATGCTGCAAGGGCCTCAATGTCTTGAAAAAGGCCTCTGCAAGGGAAAGGCCTGAAGCTTAAACTTCTTTGGTTGCCAGGTAAATCAGCTAGAGAGTAGGATTAACAGTTATCAAGGTCATGTTCTGCCAACCCAAGGAGGAAAATCATATAACACCTTGACCTCAGCACCCACTTCATTTGGGTTCTCACAGACAAATGCAACCAAACCTTACCTGTTTTAAGGAGATGCTGTTTCCCCAAGATCCAAACCAGGTCATTTGTATCTGGAAACTCTTCTAGGTAGTCAGCAAAAATAGTAATTTGGTTTTCATACTTGGATAAAACTGAAATTAAAGGGAAGAAACTCAGGTAAAATTTAACAGAAGGGGCTTGTTTCTGTAGTCTACTGATTATAACCTTTGTCCTAAAGGTGAAAAGTCATGAGCTAAGCTCCAAATAATAGAAGCAAATCCTTTTCTTTGAGGAACAGAGACAATCACAGACCACAAAATCCTTTAGTAAAGGGATTTCCTCTTGACCAACTTTTTTGACCTTTCCTTTGTCAAGGCACTATTTAGTGCCCCATCTTAATAATTATTTGGCTACAGTTAAGTCAAAACTTTTTCTTTCCTGAGGCCTTCTTAGTAAATAGCCACTTATCTAGCTTCTCCTAAGATGAGTTTATCAAGAAATAAAACAATACCTTAATACATAACTACTACCCACATCACAGGGAATATTGTAAGGTTTCTAGTGGCCAATGACTTGGAAGGGGCTATGACAAGCCTCAAAGTTTATACAACTGTGAAAATGTAATATTTTAGCTGGAAGACTGAATGTTTTAATGGTACTTTTATTTGTTATTTTATTCACATACTAGAGGCCTGGTGCACGAAATTCGGGCACTGAGGAGGCTGTCCTTCAGCCTAGCCTGCACCCTCTCCAATATAGGACACCTGTGGGATCGGGCCTAAACCTGCAGTTGGACATCCATCTCACAATCCAGGACCACTGGCTCCTAACTGCTCACCTACCTGCCTGATTGCCCCCTAACTGCTCCCTTGCTGGCCTGATTGACACTTAACTGCTCCTCTGCCAGCCTGATTTCCCCCAACTGCCCTCCCCTGCTGGCCTGATCACCCCCAAGGCTTTTATTAGTATAGATATGACTCTGCACAGAAAATTTTACTAACCCTGCTTTACAATAAGGGCTTGACAATTGAATCATTAGGATCAGACACCAAGATTTCCTTTCTTTGAATAGTGGAGGGAATAATTATCTTGTCTTTAATTTACCCAGAAATTAAAATGAGATACTGTCTTAGAAAAGTATAAAAGCACCATGTAAAGAAAACTGTCTTTTTTATGTACTGAAAAGATAATGAAGTGGTAAAATGAAAAACACTATTTTTATTCTCCCTTTCCTTCCTTTACAGCTTTTATTTAAACTTTGAAATTTATAAAAATTTCACTCCAATTTTCATTTCTTTACATTCAATATTATTTTCTATTGGTTTCAGGTTTTTTTTCTTTTATTAGTTACAGAATAGTGGTTAGACAATCATATACTTTACAAAGTGTCCCCCGATATTTCCAGTACCCACCTGGCATCATACCTTCATTACAACACATTGACTATATTCCCTATTTAAGTGACAATGGGTTTACAGGTTCCTTCCAGTCTTTCGTGTTGGTCATCCTTCCTTTTCTTTCTCACTTCTTCCCTCATTTCCTTTCTATAGTATCTCAATTGGCCATCAAAGCTCAGTGAAGGCACTGGGACACACTTCATCCATTTTACAGACCAGGAAACTGAGGCCAATTCCAGTTGGCTGTGGAACTTGACTCAGCACACAGGAAGCCCTCAGAGCCATGCTCTCTGCCCTTCCTAAGGGGCAGCTGCCAGGCAAACAGAACAAACCTTCCCTTCAGGCTTCCGAGCCTCTTTCTCAAGCACCTCTTCATTGTGGATGCTCCACATTCTTTTCTCGCCCTGGTCCGGTCCTCCCCGCCCCCCTGCTTCTCCAGAGCAGGTGAAAGGCTTCACACTCACCGCTTAGGCATGCTCTGCCCTAGGGCAGGGCACCTCAGGCTTGCTTTTGGGTTAAGGCAGGAGCAGGAGTCACTGCCTCTGAAGTGTGAAAGCTGCCTGAGTGAGGCCGCTTAGCACTGGGAGCTTCTCTGAATCACATCAGTCAGTCCAGTACCCTGCAGTGCGACACCCCTCCACTGAGGTGACACCACCCCTTAACTCCCCCCACACACACACACCCCGCCTCAGGGGTGAGGGTCCTTGCCCCTCTGCCTGGGAGTCCTTCCATGCCCCTTGATCCCTGGCTGGGCCCACACGTGTCTTGGGGCCACTGCAGAACCTCTATCTCTCTGCAGGTAAGGCAGATCCCTGCCCTCAGTCTCCCTGAAGCAACCCCATGCCTAGGTCTCAGCAACTCCATGCCTGCGATGTTCCCTAGGGCACCACAGGAGCGGCTAGGCCGCCCAGCCTTGCCTCCCCTGGGTGCCGATGTTGACAGGGCCCCCCGGGAGGGGCTAGGCTGGGCACTGCCCCTCCTGGGGCCTGCAATGAACCCAGACCCCTCCCATGGCGTCTGGCACTGCCCAGCCTGCCTCCCCGGTCAATGGACTGGTACCTTGTAGATGGTGTCTAGCGCTGCCCACAGGGCCTCCTCTGCTCCCAATGGAACTGTACCCCCAGAAGCAGGCCATGGTGCTGCTTACCCTGCTTGCTTATGCAAATTAACCACCAATTTTTGTGGGTTAATTTACATACTCACTCTGATTGGTTGGTGGGTGTGGCTGGTGGATGTATATCAGAGTGATGGTTAATTTGCATATTACTCTTTTTTTTAGATAGGATGACTTCTGCAAAGTAAGATCTTGCAGCTGATGATAAATACAGGGGGGGTAAAATAGTTTTACAGTTGTGAGTATGCAAAACAGTTTATTTTTGCATTATTATTTATTAACTTTTGTATTATTTTACATATGAACAACTGTAAATCTACTTTTACCCTACTCTGTATAAATTGTTCTTGGGATTCACAAATGACTATGGTTATCTATCAAAATAAAGTAACAGAATAAAATATAATTAAACCTAGTAAGACATAGGCCACAGGCTCAGAGTTTATGACCATGTATTGTAGGAGGAGTTAAAATTCACTTTTGTACCACTGGTGTCTGCCAGAAGAGTCAAGACTGACCTAGGAAGGATTTTTATCTCAAAAGTTCTCTTTTAAAAACTCAGTAAGGTGGGAAAAGAGGGATCATATCTCAATATAATAAACACTTTATATGACATACAGCCAACATCATACTCAACGGGTAAAAACTAAAACCATTTCCCCTATGAACAAGAACAAGACAGAGAGGCCCACTCTCACCACTCCTGTTTGACATGGTACTAAAAGTGCTAGCCATAGCGATCAGACAAGAAGAACTAAAAGTCAGCCAAATTGGAAAAGAAGTAAAACTGTCATTATTCACAGATGACATGATATTGTACATAGAGAACTCTAAAGACTCTATCAAAAAATTACTAGATTTAATAAATGATTTCAGCAATGTAATAATATACAAAATTAACACTCAGAAACCTATGGCCTTTTTATACACCAATTAGAGGCCCAGTGCATGAATTCGTGCATGGGTAGGGTCCAGCCAGCCGGCCTCAATGGGAGCCCATTGGGCCAAGCTGGCAGAGGGGAGGGGCCACCAGCAGTTGGTCAGTCAGCCTTGCCCCTTATCAGTCCCCAACACCCGGGTCAGGGCAGGGCCAGCTGGGGAAAGTGCTGTGGGCAGTTGGCTGGCTAGCCCCACCCCCGATCAAAGTGTCAGGGACCATCAGGGGCCAGGCCGGCTAAAGGGTGACCAATCAGGGTCCGAATCAAGTTGGTTGGCTGCAAGTCATAGCCACCAGTCATTCCAGTCATTCCACCATTCTGATCACAGCACTTTTAAATATATAGATAATGAACTCACAGAAAGAGAAACAAAACAAAACAAAAATCCCATTTACCATTGCACCAAAAAATTAAGATACCTAGAAATAAACTTAACTAAAGAGGTAAAAGATCTGCAATCGGAGAACTAAGGGACAATGAAAAAAAGAAATAGAGGAAGATATAAACATGTTCATGGATTGGTAGAATCCACATCATTAAAATGTACATACTATCCAAATCAATCTACAGATTTAAAACAATCCCCATTAAAATATCAATGGCATATTTCACAAACCTAGAACCAACTCTCCGAAAATTCATGTGGAATAAAAAAAGACCCCAAATAGCCTCAGCAATCTTGAGAAAGAAGAACAAAATTAGAGGGATCACAATACTAGATATCAAGCTATAATTCAAAGCCATGGTTCTCAAAACTGCCTGATACTGGCACAAGAACAGAAATACAGACCAGTGAAACAAAACAGAAATCAACCAAAGCCATTATGCTCAATTAATATTTGACAAAGGAGGCAAGAGCATACAACAGAGTCAAGACAGTCTCTTTAATAAATGGTGTTGGGAAAATTGGACTCATACATGCAAAAAAAATTTAAACTAGTCCACCAACTTACACCATACACAAAAATAAACTCAAAATGGATAAAGGACTTAATCTAAAGATTGAGAACCATAAAAATCTTAGAAGAATCCATAGGAACCAAAATATTAGTCATATGTCATGCCAATATCTTTACCAATACAGCTCCTACAGCAATGGAAACTAAGGAGAAAATAAACAAGTGGGACTATATCAAAATAAAAAGCTTCTTTATAGCAAAAGAAACTGCATGGGAGAACATATTTGCCAATGTTATATCCAATAAGTGCCTAATCTCCAAAATTTATAGGGAACTCATACACCTTAACAAAAGGAAGATAAATAATCCAATCAAAAAACTGGTAAAGGACTTAGACACTTTTTGAATGTGGACCTACAGAAGGCCAAGAAACATGAAAAAAAATGCTCAAAGTCACTAATTATCTGAGAGATGAAAATCAAAATAATAATGAGGTATCTTCTCACACCTGTCAGAATGGTTATCATCAACAAATAACAAATGTTGTTGAAGTTGTAGAGAAAAAGGAGCCCTCGTGCACTGATGGTAGGAATGCAGACTGGTGCAGTCTCTGTGGAAAACAGTATAGAGTTTCCTCAAAAAATTAAAAATGAAATTCCTATTTGACCCCGTAATCCTACTTCTAGGAATATATCCCAAGAAATCAGAAACACCAATCAGAAAGGACAAATGTACCCCTATGCCCATAACACCACAATTCACCATAGCTAGTATTTGGAAACAGCCTAAGTGCCCATCAGCAGA